GCGGGCGGAGGGCTGGGCTGAACAAAGGGCTTTCAACCGGCGTCTCAGGCACGGCGTGAATTCCCAGAAGAAAGGGGAGCCGGGGGGAAATCGATGTTCGCTGAATAAGCTTTTTTCGAGGGGTCTAAACAGGTGGGCTCTTTCAGGCCAGCTTTGCTGGGGGAGATGAGGAGCAGCAGGCAGGCAGCTGTGGTCCTGCCCACATCCCCGGAGCGGTCCCCGTGCAACCGGTGGGGCTTCGCGCAGCCGAGTCTTCCTGCGAGGGCTCCTTTGAAAGCCTACCCCGACACATGCCGTCCAAGGCACTAATCATCGATGTTTACTGTATAGCTCATATGTGCTGCACCTGGCAACCAGCAAGGGAGCTGAAGGCAGCACGTGTTTTATATTTGAGTTGTTACTTAAAAAATCAAATTATTTGCATCAGTTTTTGACATTGTTTTTTTTTTCCTTGGCTCTGTATGCCAGGGCTCACAGTGCGTGCAAAGATCTGTTTGCTACGTGTAAGCAATATTTTCCCCAGTAAAAAAAAAAAGCATAGACAAGTTAAACATAAAAGGTGTAAAAGATGATACGTCTTTTCAGTTATAAGCCACCATGGTATTTCATACAGGCTTATGTCAAAGAGATTAACCCACTGGAGCTATACTCTGTATTTATAATTGCATACAAATGCATGCTATAGCTTCATATATTAGTCTTTGTTAAAAAATCATTTTGATATATTTGTTTTAGCAGCATAACTAGCCTTGGGGGCACTGGGTATAATTAGAAAAGGGCAGGGGGGAGGCGGGGCTTGTAGAATAAAGCAGTGGCCTTAGGATCACAGGACCTAATTATAATTTATAATTAATCCCAGAATTTGCACAAACCATCTAAGCTAAACAAGGGCTATCATTTTTTCTGTTTAAATTGCAACCATTTTTTTCTAATTTCACCACCTGCTTTGTTGATGTTGTTGTTTTCGTGGCTTAAACCTTAAAAACAAGGGGGGATTAGGAAAGAAATATTTAAAACTTTCCATGTGAAAAATTTACAGTGGGAATTTACAGGTTTAGAGCCAACATAGCGAATCTGCAGCAGCAGGAGTGATCTGAAACTTGTTTACTTACAATTAAAATTTTCCTTATTTATTTTTCATGCCTTTTTTTTTTGCCCTTCTGCTTCCCTCTGTGCCCACAACTTCTGCCATACACCTCAAGTGTCCATGAGCAGGAGCTATAGAGAATGGGATGAAATGGTATCTCCGCACAGACGGAGACCTTTATGTTGTTTTGTTGACCTGAATTCATAGACCCAAACCTATTTTGTCCCTCGTGCCTCCGTATATACCCTGTACACACAGAACTTTTTTTCACCCTTTTGCTCTCCTCTCATTCCCCATCACTGCTTCAGTGTAGTAACGATGTGGTTGTGGATTGCATTTGAGAACGTCCGTTTCCTCCAGCTGCCTTTTAGCTAGCCTTGCTGCAGAAATGCTGCTCGCTGGAGTCATCGGTGCTTCTGTCCATGAGATCGAATAGCAAATATCAAAGTTGAGCTGGAGACTTTTGCTGAAAACGAAATTGCCGATAAGCATCAGAACGAGCTGGTGCGACTTGAGCTTCTCCTGGGGAATTTTTTTCAGCCCCATCAGCGATGTACTGGAATTGTCTAGAGCACAGAAGTGAATCTTAAATTATAGTGATGCTAAGCTATGTACCCTTTGTGTTCCTGCAAAAGGGAAAATAAATATGTTCCCTCAAAAAGATTACATTTTCAAAGTAGATTTGACTTGAATATTTAATTAGGTTTCAAAATTATCAAGCTAATAAATTAAGTGCAAAGCTTTGGGTAGTGTTTTTCCAGTTCTATGTATATCCTGCATTTGTCACTAATTAATGAGTTCCTAATGCTTCAGCTTCTGGGAAGATGAGCAACAAAGATTAACATAACTAGTAAATCCAAAGATGTGCGGCTGGGTTATAGTATTTGAAATTTGACAAAAACATTGGAAGTATTATTATTTGTGACATGGCTCAAGATGGGGGATTGTGAGGAAAGCAAAGATGACAGAACTGGTGCTAACCACTGTGACAACAACTTGAAAAGCAGCCGACATGACATCTTTCCTATCATGCTGCCGAAAATGTCAACTTTGTGAAGGACAGTGAGAAAATGGTTTGCCGAAAATTTGAAAGGTAGATTCCAGAGATGCTCATCATGTCAGATGCGATATAGTCCACAGCTGGGTGAGAAAGGGAGTCCTTGCCATGGTGATGGCTCTCAGTTGGCAGGCCCTTCCAGACATCCACGCTGCTCCAAAAATGGCTACAGCTGACCTGTAGATTGTCTCAAGTTTGCAGTGCATGATACGTGAGAGTGGTATGCGTTTACACCGCCCAGCAGGCGCTGCGTGGAGGGAGCGGTGGCCAGAGCCACCGGGTTTGATGACCTCCTGGCTCACAAAGACCCCAAGAAAGGCAAAGGCCAGGGAGTGACCAGAGGTTAAGCCTACATGGTCGACACGTGCTTCGGTGGTTGCGTTGGCATCCCTTGGGGCGTTGTGAGTTGGGCGAGAGCCACATTGGCCAGAGGTTCGCTCTCCAGAGCCAACTCTTCATCTTCGTGTGGGTCAGTGTTTTCAAAGCGATCCTTCCAGATTCGCCACTGCCCATCTGGGACATGACTGATGCTGTCACATCAGCCTGTTTTGGGTGTCCAACACGAGTCACTACATGTTGAGCTCTAAATGACCAGTTCTGGCAAAACCAAAGCCCTTTGAATACAGTGAGAAACTTCGATTCATGTGAAGGGTCTGCAACCCAACCAAGCTGTCGGATCCTGCCATTAAATCTCGCCGGTTGAGGTTATTGACCCAGCAAAGGGTAACATAACTTTCAGACCATTTCCAGTCCATCAGCACATCACAGCCAGGGCAGGCAGCTTTTCCTACCTCGTTTTGTCAGCGCTGATAGAATTAACCTAGTGACACTCCGTGAGCCGTTATGGGTACAAAGAGGGGAACCAAATGCCAAAAGTCAAGTGAGGGCTTCAACCCTGCCCCTTAATGTACGGCATTTATCGCAGTCTGCCTTGAATTATCTGCTCTCCTGCTTGGGAGCAAAGCAGGCGCTGTGAGGTGCACAGCATTGCAAAAGGCATGAACATCTCTCTCTGAATGTTAAATATTTTATGGAACTTTGGAATAAAAATATATTAAGCATGTTCAGTCATTAATTTTTGCTCGGTATCTAATTTGGTTTTCTTGTAGCTTGCTCATTTCTTCAAAATAACTAGTCCTAATTAGGTACTAATGAGACCAGATCCATACTTCCAAAACTGTTTATGAAATGTGTTCCCCAGCTGAGACATTTTATCCAAGTTTCAGCCTAAATTTTTTTTCCTTTTTTTTTCCTTAATGCACAACTGAATTTGGCAAATAATCAAGTAAAGATTTCTGATTAAATGCTGTTTAAATTTAAATACATTCCCTGGTATTCGAGTCCATGCTGCAAGTTTTATTTAATGTATATTTAGCTTTAAAATTTTGCAGTAAATATCATGTAAGTTTTGCTAGTTCCTCTTCTGAAATGTTTTAATGGTTTATTCACCTGTGTTGGAATATCAGAGTTTGTATTTATGATATCGAGAGCTTGCTAAATGCAGGGTCAAGAAGTGATTATACAGACTTTATAGCTTTTAATTTTTTATAGGGGTTTTTTGGGGTTTTTTTTTTTGAGTTTAGGGCCTTTGATTCTTTAAGAGGAAAATAAAGCTAACCAATTAACCCCTGACAGGAGGTTCATTAGAAGCTTTGTAATCCCTTGCCAAGTCTTTTGTATAGCCAAACCAGTCTAGTACTGCGGATTTATGCAGCTTAAGCTGAACACTGGAGGAGGCCTTTAAGTAAGAACATTTGTTCAATTTTAAGACGTCTTACATTACCTAAAGAGCGCCTGTGCCAGCAGAGTTGCCCAGGAGTACACAAATCCATAGACTTTGCTTGCCGGCAACGGGGAGCGGTGCCGTTGATTGTCTGCCCGGCCGATTCCTTGGGCGCATGGATTAGATTCGCTCCCTCCTCTCGCCCGGGATGCTGCTGCGCGGCGTATTTTGCCATGTGGGTGCAGGGGAGAAGGAGGGGATTGCTGCTTTCGGCTTTCGGGTGGGTTGGCGTGGGCAGAGGTACGGGGTGGAAGAGCGCGGGGACCGCTGCATCCTCCAGCCCCGGGAGAGCTCGGGCAGGGTTTGCCTGCACACTGTGCTCCGTGGAAGGTGAGAAAGACCCCAAGGCAGCAGGACCTGGGTGTCTCACAAGGCGCTCCTGTGCACTCCTGAAACGCAAGACTCTGCAAATAGTCTGAGAAAACCTTTGATAAATTGTATCAACGTGTTAATTTTCATAAATTAAAAATAAATGGCTGAAAAGGCATTGCTTTTTCAAACACGAAATGCATGTCGCTCTCTAGGCACATCTTGGCAGAATATATTGAAGATGGTTCACTTCAAGAAATCAGTACGATGGGGCGATTCAGCGGTTATGAAGCGGTGCAGAATTTTATATTCTGTTTGTACATGCACCTGTTGTCGATATTCTTTTATACCGTGAATTGTGTTAAATTGGCAGCTGAATTTTCTGCAGAAATCAAGCCCCTGTTTTGCCAGCAACGGGCCCGATCCTGCAGTGAGAGCTGGCATTGCGTTCCCTGTCATATACGTATACTTAAAAGGAGATTCTGCTTTTTCAGACTCCTCAATCACAGGAAAAATAAAGGGGGAGGGAGGTGTCCACATCCAGATTATCCCTCTGAGAGAGGGTATGTCTTTACTCGGTGTTTTTTGATGCCTCAGCAGTCCTGCTGCCGTGACCACCCGTGTCTCAGCGTGGCACATCCTCTGTCCCGGGTCTCGTAGTTGGTGCCGTCCCTTCCCGAAAGGGCAGCGTGCCCTGTGCTGTGGGGACGAGTCACCAGGGTGCCGAGGTGGAGCCCGAGTCATTCCTGGCATTTCTCCCCCAGGCCTGACGGGATAGGAACCGTGACCGTAGACGAGAAAGAGCGTTTCGAAGAGATCAAGGAGCGGCTTCGTTTGCTTCTGGAGAATCAGATCACGCATTTTAGGTAAAGGCAGAGAGCCCAGAGCTGAATGCGAGAGGACTGATTTCCTCCCAACTCCCTCCTGTAAGCAGCAAAGCCAAAAGGCAGGTTTTGAATGCATACGGGAATTTTGCGTAAGTGGCGCAGACCTACACAGGGCAGTGACGCCTGCACTGTAGCATGCTTGTAGCTGGAGAGTGATTTTAGATACATAACCTTTAAACGATATTTCAAACCATCTTGCTCCATAGGCATGGTAATGCTGGGCGGTTTTCCTAAAATTTAACAACAAAAAAAATCCCTTATCCTCCTGTTCCTCTGTTCCCCTCTGCCAGTTATTACCCATTTATTCTCCCTTCTCCCCAGTATTCAGACAGGCAGGGCTTGCCGCAGGGATGTCCCAGCAGAGAAAGGGTGGACATCGCCCCCACAAAAAGGGACGGATTGCCCCCGCGCGCCAGCCGCGTCCTGGGCGGGTGGTGCACGCCTGCACGCAGACGGGCGACGCGCATCCGCGCCTGTTCCCCTCTGCCAGTTATTACCCATTTATTCTCCCTTCTCCCCAGTATTCAGACAGGCAGGGCTTGCCGCAGGGATGTCCCAGCAGAGAAAGGGTGGACATCGCCCCCACAAAAAGGGACGGATTGCCCCCGCGCGCCAGCCGCGTCCTGGGCGGGTGGTGCACGCCTGCACGCAGACGGGCGACGCGCATCCGCGCGCAGGGTCCCTGCGGGAGCCCCCGGAGGGGGGCGGTGGCTGG